ATAAACAAAAAACAAAACAAAGCAAAAAAATATAGAAACATTTTGCCTCTCATCCAAGATACTTCCTCAGTCTGAGGTGCTGTTTTCAGCTCAGTCTCTTAAATAGCACCTGGTCAATCTGGTGCTATTTCAGAAGTTCAATCTGGTCCAGAGGACCAGATTGAACTTTTTTGGATTTTTCTACCTGGATTATTGAGCATGCATCAGGATAGACCAAGGTGTAGTTCATCAGATTTATTTACAAAGCTTTGGAAAGCAGTCCAGCGTTCACAGAACATGCATTTACAAGATTACACTGTTAGTGCTATCATCCGTGTGAAACCCCGACCTGCTCTAACTTCCTGAACCAACAAGTTAGTTTTAAAGAATAACCTCAAGCCCAGGCAACAGCTCTTCCCCTCCATGTCTGAGCCATTATTGAAAGGTCCGCTTGCAGACAGGAAGGAGTGGATCTGAGTCAAGAACTCTGCTTGAGACATGTCATCATATCAATCAACCCTTGAGGATATCAAACAACCAGTTTTTTTCTGTTCCTTACCAACTGGTCACAGTAGGAGTGATTACATGGGGCAGTTAATATCACACATCACAAACATGAGCAGAAGGACATTGCAGAATGCTCCCACAGGAGAGTTATTGGTCACGATGAGTGCAAACAATGCACATTACACTGACACGTCATCTAGACCAATTTCTTTAAGTGAGAAACGTTTCGTCTCCCATCCAGAGGACTTCGTCAGCTGTGGCCTGCCAACCAGATCTGTCAGAGATGTAACCTTCATTGCTGTGTTTCAAGCAAATCTCCAGTTGGGATCTCAGAAGTAGACATGCAAACAGGGCTCACCCGTCCAAAACAATCACTCATCATGTATAACAGTCAAATGTTTTAGGACAGATGGCCGACTTGCTACTCACTGAAATAGCCTGAGAACAACCAAGGTCAAAATGGTTCAGAAAAAAAGGTGTTTGTAAGCTCATCCATGTAGATAACAACAAAAAAGTTTAGGTTAGGGTTATTTATCATGTGCAAAATCACTACAAGGTCAGCAATGAAATGCTTAGGACTAGAAGAACCATCTCGACTCATCAAACAAACAAACAAACAAACAAACAAAAACAACAAGAAATATCAAAACATGCAGCAAAAAAACTAAAAGCATACTAAAAATACTAATACTTAAGGTGCTAAATTAAATTGACATCCTATTATATTTACACCTTAAGCTTTGTCTTAAAAATCATGCAAAACGTTAGATAAGAACTACCGGCAACTTTAAGGAACCTACATATACGTTTTGTGCAGAGTCTATACAGATAATTTTTGTTAGTATATTATTACATAACAGCTACTGCAGTACTCTGATTCATGCCTTCACCACATAAAATAAGTAAGTGACAAATAGAAATCGGAGAGCACATTTCCGCAAACATAAAATGGCCAACCAGATGCTATCAGGTTCATGGCTCTCCTTTCACAAGAGAAAGTAATTCAGGGCTGAAAAGGCCCTGATTGCACTGCTCCAAAACTCCAACTCCCAATCTATTGGAATGCCATTAAGAATTCAGCTCCACTGTGAATGGACTGTTAATACTGACAGACTGCTCCAAAGAGACCATTACGACTTCCCTGAAAGAGGAACTGGGGCCATTACGGTTTGGTTTCCGAGCCTAACCCTTCTTTTTTTAAAATGGTGACACCACCTCTGCCATTCGTCTTCATTTAGAAGTCATTTGTTGAAAATAAGGGATTTGAATTAGATGGAATGCCTTGGTCCTGGCCTCTTAAAGTTTGTCCACTCATGTAACTGTGTGCAAAGTTTACAATATAAAAATCATGCTCAACATAATAAATAAACACGCAAAAAGTTCCAAACTATGACTTCTGACCAGTAGGTGAGGGGTCCTACACTGCAGCTGATTATAGTTTTCTAATCCCTCCCAGTGAGAAAAATGGCCCCAGCATGTTATAAGACCCATGGGCCAGTGTGCACTTATGATGCCATTAATGATGCATGGGCCTCCATCTGAAGCAGGAGGCTGAGAACAACAAAGTGAGACATGGTGCATTCAGGTGTGCATACATTAGCCATACGTTCTGCTGTGGACAGGAAAGGGAGAGCCTTGCTTGTCAAGTTGCACTGAAGAAACTGACCCCATTTTTATATTTCTGAGCTGTCCACAGCATGTACATTTTTATCTGTGTGTGCATTATATGCACTTAGCTTTAAGACATTTGAAAATTAGCAAAAACCTCATGATATTTATGGATCAATTTCATCATATTGTATATTAAATCAGTTGTGTGTGTGTCTCAATTTTGTACCCATTATGAAACATTTTCATCTTCATTAAAACAATAGCAAATCATTTCCATTGTACTAATGCCCCACTAACCTCATCTCAAATGTTTTACTCAAATGTTTAATTATATAAAGCTTATTATCCCATAGTTCCAGTAGCAGAAGAAACATGGAAACATACAACCGCGGAGTAGCGAGGGACTACTGTACAGATACCCAGTAAATGTTGATTTTATAGGTTTTTTTATGCTTGTTTATGTTAGTGTACAGCACTTTGGCCAACGGTGCTGTTTTAAAGTGCTTTATAAATAAAGTTGTATTGTACTGTATATATTCACTCGTTTTTCGCGGACTCGCTCTATCACGGTTTTTCAAAATAAGATTGGACATGATGCACAATTGGCTGATTGATGAAAGAGCTGCACAACTGACATGGAATTTTATTTCATCCATCCATCCATCCATCCATTATCTTTTACCCGCTTCTTCCATTTTGGGTCACTGGGGTCGCCAGTGCCCATGTCCTGCAATCACTGTGCAAGGGGCGGGGTACACCCTGGATGGGTCGCAAGTCCATCACAGGGTCACATAGAGACAAACAAGACAAACAACCATTCACTCTCTCATTCTCACCTAGGGACAATTTAGAGTTACCAATCAGCCTAACATGCATGTTTTGGTCTGTGAGAGGAAACCGGAGTACCTGGAGAAAACCCACGCATGCACGGAGAGAACATGCAAACTCTACCCAGAAAGGCCACTGGACCGGGATTTGAACCAGGGACCTGCTCGCTGAGAGACAGCAGCTCTACCAGTTGCTCCACCGTGCTGCCCGGAATTTTATTTAAACTACATTATTTAAAATTAATTAGAACCTGTGTGCAGCCCAAGCTGCAGGAGAAGCTTCTTACTGCAACGTGTTATATTTCTGCACCACAGAGGAGAAGTGGGCGTGGCCAAGAGTGCTAGCAGGTGGCAGAGTGCAGCAGCTGAAATCATACATCATTTATACAACCTGCATATATATATATATATATATATATATATATATATATATAAACACATTGTGGGATTCTTCAAGCAGCAACTGAGATTAATTCTGCTAACGAGCTCTAGGACTATAAGAGGCTGCAGAAGAGCTTCCTTCCCTGCTGGAGCATTACTTACCTACTTGTATTTGTGCTGTTGGTCTTCTTGTGTTAATTCTCTAAGAGCAAGTAATACTTGTTATGTTGCATTGTTGTTTATTTGTCATATGCAGGTCAACACAAGGTCAACAATGCAATGCCATGTTCAGGATGAGAAGAACTGATTTGCTAAAAAAGCAAAAAAAACGAACAAGAAATACTAAAGCATGCAATAAGGGTACAAGATAACGAACCAAAAAGTGAAAAATATAATATTTAGAAGGTCCAAAATAAATATTGTAAACAAGAACATTGTAGAATATAATGGTGCAAGTAGGATGAATTGGTATAAATAAGTATTTCACAGGTATATAAGCTTAACTGCACATGATATTTTGCACATAACTAACATAAACTACACAGGTTGTGCGACAGGTTATTGCACAGGTAGTACTGAGATCAATTATGATGGTAAGGTAGTAACATATATGATGCAGCCACATCATGCAGCAGCAATAAACATATTAGGTGTCACAGATGTGACTTAGAGCAATTGTTCAGTATTATTATCAAGAGTTCAGTAATCTGACAATTTGTGGGTAATAACTGTTTTTGAGTCTTTTCATGTGCGATGGCAGACTCCTGTACCGTCTGCCTGTAGGTAATACTTACATTATGTTCTCCTCGCGTTCTTACAGAACCTGGTTCCTGAGGCTCCAGTCCTGGATCCCTTGTTGCTTTCCACAAATCATCGACTCCTGTGCCTACCTGTGAGTTGCTCTTCCTGTTGTGGATCTTATCCAGCTGCTCCGTCATCATCCAACCACTTGCCTCTGCTCCACCTTCAACCTGGACCTGATTGATCTGGAATCCTCAACCCTCCTCTCTTACCCACCTGTCTGTAAGTGATCAAAAACCTGCACCATCTAACAGTTCCTCCTTCCAGTTCCTGACACCTCTTCTTCCTCTCCAGGTTTCCCAGTGTCTCCAGTTATTTCACTTTACTGTAAATAAATCACGTTATATTATAAAATAGTTTGAGTCTGCTATCTTGTCTGTTCGCTCTGGGTAAGCACCTCTGCCCCCCCCCCCCCCGCACACACACACATGGCCGCTTTCAGCCCTTGAGCCACATTTGTCCACATGTGGCCTAAAACCTTGTCTTACTCTAAAACCCAATCATCTACATTCAAAATCCACAGTTTTGAGCTCTCCCATTCTCAACATGACTCCTTACTGAGCTGCTTTATGTTTTAGTTTGGACTAATTGGTCAGGAAGCAACTCTCCAAGCATCATTGGTCCCGGAGGTTCCGGCCAATCAGGAAGCCCGCTGTTACAACCCACGAGTTATTAACCTGAGTGATCAGGCAGGAAGAGAAAGAGTAAATATGAAGGTCACAGATCCGGTATTTAACTTCAGTCTCCTGCTGTGAGAGCATAGAAAGGACTCCTCCTGCCTGACTGGCCAGCAGGCTGCGCTTTTCCTCAGATGCTGTGGGAGTAGCTCAGGAAGGAGGAGGAGGAAGAAGAGGAGGAAGATTTCAGCACCGGAGCTGTTCTCTGTTTGCTTTGGAGGAGACTCCTCAACGACAGAGAGAAGCGGCTGCAGCTTTCCAAATGTAAATTCCCTCTGCGAGACTCAGGGATAATAAACTGCTGTGCCATCCATCTCCCCTTCCTCCCCCCACGGGGCTGCAGACGGGCTGAGCAAATACTTCATCTGAGCAAAGTGTTGCCATGCTGGACGGCCGGGATTGAGGATAAAGTCTCCAGTAAGTCTCGGCGAACACCAGTCTCTACGGTGAGTTTCTTAAAAATTACACGTGCAGCTCCAAATTCAGTTTCATCTTGTGCATGGGTGATTCTGCAGGGAAGCCTCATTAAATATGCTTGCAAGGAAATAATATTTAGGTCAGCATCATTTTGGGTGTGGATGCAAGCGATTCTCTCCGAGTTCTCATCTCCTATCTCATGTCTAATCACAGCAGCGTGCAAAACAGGAGCACCAACTCAGTTTAAATGAGAGAAACATACATGTGTAAGCACATGTGCGTCATTATACATGTAGTTTCCCATCCAGTATGTGTGAGATTGGCTTGGATTTGATGCCTCTCTCTCTCTGCAGCAGATAGTTACTGCTGTCCACTTTTTCTGTTGTGCATGGAGCAGGCTGCATCTTTGCTCTCATCTTCTGGCCCCCTGAAAGATCCACAAACAAGCTGAATTTTGTTGTTAGCCTGAGGGGAGTCCTGCGTTTCAATCAATGCAGTTCTAAGGGGTGACATGGAGCACCATATATGTATATATATATATATATATATATATATATATATATATATATATAGTATACTTATGGGGAAGTGGTGGGAAGTGAAGGTGATTCTGGTTGCCGGTTCGACTCCATGGACCAAAAACCTCTGAATGTGGGTGGGAAATGTGAAGTACCTGCACCTGCCTCCACCCTTATTTGCCCCTCTCTGGGCCCTTGAGCAAGGCCCTTAACTCCCCACCAAATGCTTCCTGGGCTCCCTAAATGGAAGCTTACTGCTCCACACAGAGGGTTGTGGTAGCTAGGTGGTCTGAGGTTGCAACAGGAAGTGCATATGTCGTAAAAACATTTGCCAAGTCTTCGTGGGAGTTATACTGTGTATATAAAGAAAATCTCTACAGAACTTTAATCTCCATCTTCCTTCACAGATTTAGAAATTGCCCACACCTCCTTTGAATTTCAAAATAGTTTTACCTAACAAATTGATCTGGAAATTACCAGAAGAGACCCATAGACCCCACCCAGCCATCAACGTGTCGATACAATTGTTAGACAAATGTATTTATTTATTTATTTTTAACACAATCTCTTTTACAAGGGAGGCCTGGACCTGAAATCAGCCCAACATGTATATTTTTGGACTGTGGGAGAAAACCGGAGTACCCGGGAAAACTGAAGCAAACACAAGAACATGCATGGGCCGAGGTAGTGTAGAGGTAGGACAGCCGACTCGGGAACAGAAAGTCCCAGGTTCGATCCCCAGCCATTCCCACATGTCATGGTGTCTCTGCGTAAGACACCCAATCCCCAATTGCTTCCCGGGCGCCTACATACAGTAGCTGCCCACCTGGGTGTATCCCAGGTGCGATGGGTTAAATGCAGAGAACCAATTTTGTCATTGTATGGGTACATACAATGATGACAACACGTAGCAATTATTATGATTATAATTATGCAAACTCCAGACAGAAAGACCCCAGGTCCAATCTGAGGATTTTCCCAGGACCTTCTTGCTGTATGACAACAGTGCTAACCACTAAGCCATGGTGCTGCAACAGCAAAAGCAACTAATTGTGAGCCTTACACATGGAGTTGCTGACAAATAGCACTCAGTTGCATGCTAATTTGTAACATTTGTAGTCACTGACAATCTAAAAGTAAAACTTTGCTGCAGTTATAATTTTTGCCCCTCCCCAAATGCTGGAACCCCATGTCCCATCTTTGCTACACTAAAACACTCCAGATCCACTGCTGCTCTCAGCCTGTGACAGATCCCTGCAGCCTGAGCTGTTTCTGTGCTCTTTTGTAAAATGCTCTCAGAGCCTCTCAGAGCTGGCACAAGCTCTCTGCCTCGCATCTCCTGAATGCCAACATGGTGTCTCCAACCTAACGATGCATTGAGATTTAAATTCCTCCTCCATTCAGCCTCCGTCTTTCTCTTTTCCCCTCTGTTCACAAGCTGAATTTTAAACCTACATATGCGTTTGCTGAGCATTTTCCCAAAGAGCGTGCTTGAGAGGGAATTAGAGAGAGAGAGAGAGAGAGTTGTGGAGGTTCCCCACCACTTCACGGAGAAATCAAATCATTGCAGGGTAGGAAAAAGCACCAAACCATCCCTTTAAGCAGTCTGATTTTATTAATGGAACTCTGTGCGTCTTAACACACGTGCATTTGAGTGTGTTGAGCAGTTGTTAATGATTCTTCTGGGTGAACTCGTTAGAGTAATTAGTTCCAGGTCTTTGCTTCCCTGGTTCGTGGGTGAGATCCTCAGCTAAAGGCAGACTTGTTCCCATGAAAAAGACATGCTTTGTCGTCCACTCTCAACTCTCCCCTCCCCCAGCCCCCAACTGAAAAGAGGAATGAAAAGGAGGAACTGGTCGGGACTCAAATCAGCACATACCAGTGACAATCGGCACTGGGAAGAGAGTCGTGCAGTCAGCGAAACACACACCCCCATAATATGTGAGCCAGGCTCAGCCACTTCATGCTGTTGTCAAAAAGCACAAACATGTAACAGTGTGTCAGCCTACTGGGGCTTGAATGTAGAGCTGTTTCATTTGAGATGAAAGTCAAGTCAATGGAAAATGGTTTGTAAGCTCATTCATCCAGGTAGATAACAATAAAAACAGTTAAATTGTGCCAACTGGACCAGTTTCTTTAAGTGAGAAATGTTTTGTTTCCCATCCAGAGGACTTTGTCAGTCTGCAGCCTGCCAACCAGATCTGTCTCATAGGTAGCCTTCATTACTGTGTTTCAAGCCAACCTCCTGTTGGAATCTCAGAAGTAGGTTTTTAACACATGCAAACAGAACCCACTCGTACAAGAAATTCAATCATGATGTATAAGGGTGCATTCACACAAACCCTGTTTAGTCCACTTTAATCAAACTTTAGTACAACAAAGTCCATGCTCACACTAGAAACTCTAGTACGTTTGCCTAGAAAGTCTGGTTTGTTTGGGGGAGGTGTGAATGTGCAATTGAATTCTGATATGGACCAAAAATGCGAACTCTGGTCCACCTAAAAACCTAGGTCTTGGTTCAGTTGAAGTGAACTCGAATGCGGTTTGAATGCATTGTGAATTCAAGCGGGCTGGAAACCGCTCCAAAAGCAGGAAGTGGACTACAGCGCAGGGCATTCTGTGTAAATACAAGCAAAGCAAACGTGCATTTCTCATACCTCATATGGAGCCGTCTCAGCCGCCTTGTGTGAAAAACAACATTCTCCATGGTCTTCTGCCTCATCTTACGCTCATGCCGAGTCCAATGTTGGAAACAAATGACAAAATATAACTCTTAAAACCACTCAAATTTGACACAACTCCATTTTTTTTTCCAGAAGAATAATAAGAACTGTCTTCTTCAGAGGTTTTCGTGTCATTTCCTTCAGTAGTTTTTGGTGCAGCGCCACCACAGGTGAGGCAGGGAACAGGTTGGCTCGATTGACTCAGAGCGCGTGAATGAACTGCACCAGCTGAAAATGTAAACAAATGTTCTGAATTTTGGTCCCCAATTGAACCGAGTCTACTGGACTATCAGGTGTGAAAACGACTTAATCAAACGCTTTAGGCCAGATGGCCAACTTGCTACTCACATAAAAAAGTCTGAGGACAACCAAGGCCAAAATGGATCAGAAAAAATGGTTTGTAAGCCTAATCATCCAGGTAGATGACCAAAAAAAGGTTGAATCATGTCATCTGGAACATACATCTGTTTTTTTTCTGAACCGTTTTGACCTTGGTTGTCCTCAGGCTGTTCTGTGAGTAGCAAGTTGGCCATCTGGCCTAAAACATTGATTGTTATACACAATGATTGATTGTTTTGGACGGGTGAGCCCTGTTTGCACATATTAAAAGCCCATTTCTGAGATTCCACAGGAGGTTGGCTTGAAATACAGCAATGAAGACTATCTATGGGACAGATCCCGTTGTCAGGTTGCAGACTGAGAGGTCTTCTGGATGGGACATGAGACATGAGACATGAGACATGAGAAACTGGTTCAGATGACACGATTAAACATTTTTTGTCAATAGAAAATGGTTTATTGTGCTTTTTTCTTATTGACTCCTCTTTATGGTTAATGCTTATTGCTGTCATATCTACAGTGCTGTATATTTTCAGTACCTCCAGCTGGTGAAAGTTTCTCAGATGAGCCAATTAAAGTAGACTTTTGTTTCTAATAAGACATGCAAGTGCAGCTGCATTATGTGAATTAACGAGCAGTTGTTTTGGTATACCATTAGCTAAAAGTGTGAGAGAATACATAGATTACTAAAAGCAATCTTGCTCCTCAAATATACTCAGAGTAAGTCAGAGGCACTCAGATAGCACAGGCTGCTCTTTGTAAGTGGTGTGGAGTTATAGCCGAGGCGATAGGGGGATGTTGTCTTCCTTTAGGACATTGGTGTTGTCTATTCTCCCAGAGGACCCCGAGGATCTCACAAAGGCATCGCCAGTGGTACTACAGTACTCTAGGGCTTTCAGCTGACTTCTATACAAGGTCTAGTCTGAATATCTCAATTTATAACAACTCCATTTCTCAACCACCTGCAACAGTAGTGTTTCAAAAACGAAACTGAAAAGAAGTGTTTGCTAAGCAAAATTAATTTTAAGTTGCTATTTAACTCACTAGTGGCCAGAATTCATTTTGTATGATGCATGTTTATGCCAACAATGCTTAATGACACAAGAACCTTAGCTTGTTCTGATCCGTAGCACCTTTTACTGCTGGCCGATGCTTCCCACATCAACTTAAGGGAAAAACTATGTCCCTTTGTTGGGTCATACTCCAGCAGACTAGTGCGAAACAGATCCAGGCTCTCTTAACCCCTCCTTTTTTACTGTTTCACCAAAGGTCACTAAAATGTCATCGCCTCGCACTGATATTGCTGTTTTTATAACAGCCTTTTCATTAAGACTAATAAATTGCTGCTTCATTAACTCTCCCCATGATGGCATTTGAACAGCAGGAGACTGATTACAAATACAGATTTTAGGACGTCCCTGCTGTCTAATACTCACAGGAAATATAGAT